ACGCGTTTTGATGTACGCCAGCGCGCGAGAACGAAGCGTGCGCCGGGGTTCAGGAATCGGGAGACAGCGACCGGCCGGGAAGCTCGGAGCCAACCATTCATCCCCCTCCCCGACGAACGGCAGTCCAAACACCGGACGGCAAAGCAGTGCGCGAGGAGGAGGCCCGGCGACCGTGGCGTGGCGTAGCGGCAGAGTGCCCCGACTCCCGACGACGATAGACGACGACGCGAAGGAAATCGAAGGCAACGGCCGCACGGGACATAAGCGAGGGACAAGCGGGCAAGACATCGCACGATGATCGGATGACGCAACTGCCAACGCCGGCCGGCGCTAGCCTGCCCTGCACCTTCACCGAGTCCACCGTCCGCGGAGGCTGAGCCGCTGCCGAGACCATCTTGACGCTCCACTCACTTAGGCCTCTTTCGGAACAGCTTCACCGATAAAATGTTTATTTTTCTTCTGCTCTACGAGCAGCTCTACCGATTAAGCTAAAACAGTTTTGATTACACATCTGGCAAAACAGCTCTAAGATCTTTAAGTTACACAAAAAAAAGTGAAATGACCACGATGCTGTTCTTTTTCCCCCCTCATCTCCTATTTCTTCCTCCTTTTTTCCGCTTGGGTTTCTTTGTTCTTCTTCACAGCTGGTATTCTCAGATGCACTCGCGTGCTGCCTCGATAGCCCCAACGCCCCTGCCTTGCCGGCCGTGCCCGGCGTGGCGGCGCACTGATTGTCGCGCCTGTCCCCACGCCCGGCGGTGGCGAGCCACAATGGTCACGCCAGCCGTAGTGCCCCCGCCCTGCCGACCATGCCCCGTGATGGACGCGCTCGGACACCGACGGGGCCACGCCTTGATGGCCGAGCCCGCGCCCGCACCTTGCGGGGGCAAATCTTACTTCCGGTGGAGGTGCACGGGTGCCAGGTGAAGTTGAGGAATGCTACTATTTTTAGCTCTATCCTATCTCAATCTTATGTCTCAGCAGGTTTTAAGAGTTTCACCCGTAAAGCTGTTTTTGTAAATACCTATTTGGCACAAAATAACTTCAAAAATAACTTGTGAAACTGGTGGAGAAGTTGTGCCAAATATGGTCTTAGTTGGCGCCTAGGTGGTACTTCTGTTCTCATTGCGGCTCAGCCTCACGTAAAATCCAAAGATGCTAAAATTATGTTTGTTTGTTTTTTCAAAGTCTGACTTAAACCCTGTTTGGTAGAGTTATTTATGTTCTAGATTCTTTATGGTTGCGAATTTTGTGACAGAATTGATTCTCTGACTCAAAATATTTCTCCATTATTCTTTTGGATTAACTCTCTGCATATTATGACTTTGTATGTAGAGTGAACGAAGATACGGTACTTCACAAATTAGCGTCGAATCACTTATGACTAGACAATTGTTTCAGAGCTCCTCCTAGATTTATGTGCAAGCTGCTCTGTGAGCCCTACGAAACAGATTATAGCCCCCCCGGCCACGCGCTTGAACTTTCGCTAACACCATAGTTACACGTAGCTTATATTGTAGTCACCTATTTTTAGCTGTAATTCATTTTATAAAATGGTGCAATAAAAATTTATGTGCTAGAGTATCGCATAACACCTATTTTTTTCCTTTTTTTTAGCACAAAGGTTTGTTCGATTGGTGCCTATGTTACCCACACCTAACCTTGGTCATAAATCTTGATATTATTTTTTACTATAATGCTATGACTCGAGCGTTTGGCGTTTTCCGGACACAACAGATAACGATTGGCTACGACGCCCGCGTGTCCTCCCCCACTCATCTCTCCACGTACTTATCCGATTGTCGCACCGTCCGTTCATTCCCACGCCGCCTCGCTCCCTCCCGCGACGCGCGCCTGCTCGCGACGCCAGGATCAGCCGCGCCGTGCACCCCCATCCCACGCCATTGGTCCCCATTCACTCGCTTGCGCCCCGTGGCTCATGTGCCTCTCGCCCCTCTCGTTGCACATGTCGTCGGCTCCCTCCCTGGCCAGCGGCGACGCCCTCACCCACCCCGGTGTCCTCCTCCCCCACTGCGGCATCCTCCCCCACCCCCGGCGGCTCCTTCCCCACCCGGCGTCATCCTCCCCCACCCCGGCGGCGCCCCTCCCCCCACACCGATGTCCTCCCCACCGGGAGCCCCCAATGCCCACAGATCCGGCAGCCATGGCGCTCCCCGCGCCAGGCTCTCTCTCTCCCCCTATGTTGCAATTGTATGTTTCAATTATTACAGACGTTTCAGATGTATGTTACAGTTGAATCATATGGATATTACAAAAGTAGATCGATGAATGTTGCACATGTTTGCATATGTTGTAAGTGTTTCAGAGGCTGTTGCAAGCATTTTGTTCGTAATGTTTCATTTGTTCCCAGACGTATTGTTGTATGCGTTTGATCTGAAAGTTGCATATGTTCCACACATATGTTGCAACAGTATATTCCAACTGTTTTCATCAGTTTCAGCCTTCTGTTGCAGCAAGTGTTTTCATGTTACAAGTTGCAGGTGTTCTATCTGGATGTTGCATACGTTTTCACACATATGTTGTAACTGTATGTTTTAGATGTTTCATCTGTTTGAGACATATGTTGCACTCAAATGTTTCATGTTACACGTGTTTCATGCTGTTCGGAGAGTCAGGGGGCGCCGAGGAATGAGGCGCGGCGAGTCGGTGGACGTGGCGCGCGGCGCTCCGGGGGCCCGCGTTAGGGCGGGGGTGTGCCTGTGGGGACAAGGCGAACGGATGGGGATATGGGGTGGGGGTGTCAGGCGTGCGAGGGGGGGTCCGATGGAAGCTGGGCCCACGTGCATGTTGGTGGGAGCGGAGGGGTTGCGGAGGGGCGCGCGGGGCAGGGGCAGGGGCAGAGCAGCAGCGTCCGTGGGCGTTCGGACGTCCGAGCACTAGGCGTGCCGTATTTTTTATAAACTTAATGAACTTAGAAAAAATTGATGCAGTCTAAACTGGTGCTTACTCCGTTCTAAGTATAAGACATTTTGACTTTTCTAGATACGTTGCATTTGTTATGAATTTAATATGTCTAGAGACGTAATAAATGCAATGTATTTAAAAAAACCAAAATATCTTATAATTTAGAACGGATTTAGTAGTCTTATTAATTTGGAACGGATTTAGTAGTCTTATTAATTTGGAACGGATTTAGTAGGTTTTTTTTTTCTCTAGAGGTAGTACTTGCGACGATAACATGACCTGGGCGAACGGATTTGTGCCCGCGTCATAAGATGCTTGAAAATAATGAAAGGTGACTACACCAGAAACAAACATCAAACACTATACGGAGACTGAGCAAGGAGGGTCACGTACACCACCACTTGAAGCTCGTCACATTTCTACCTTGCAAGGAAAAAGAAAAGACTACAAAATCTGCACATTATTCTGCAAAATCGCACCTCGATTTCTCCTGAGTTAACCGAGTGGACAAACGGGAGCAGCTTTACACGCCAGATTAGAGCATCTCGAGAGTTTCCTAAACCTCTTCCTAATCCTAAGATTTTAGAAAGATCCATAAAAAATCCATCTCCAACAACTCGTAATACAATCTCCTAATATTTTATGAGTTAGAAAAAATCCCCCTCATCCACGTGCCGCAGCCTCGAGCGTATCCTTCTGACTCCCTGCCGTCGCGCTCAAGTCGTCCACGCTGGGGTTGCTCAGCCTCGACCGGGACGAGGGGGAGATGATGAAGTGGCGTGACGATGGCGGAGATGTCGGAGCGGCGAAGACGCCGCCGCTGCTACCTGAAGCCGCGATTGATGCGGCGGCAGTAAGCAGTGCCGTGGTCGCCGCCAAGAAGCGAGTCCGCGAGCCCGAGGTGATCAACGTGTGGGAGCTCATGGGACGACCTCGATGACAAGGACGAGGAGGGCGGCGCCCGGCGCGAGGAGCGGCGGAGAAGTCGCCCCAGATCGCTTCGAGTTCGATCCGGACGTCATCACCGCGTTCCGGAAGGCGTTGGATGAGATACCCCGCCGCCCGACGCACCCGGCAGATCGAGGAGTGTATCAAGAAGCCCGACGGCACGGGCGGTGGTGGGGGCGGCAACGAGGTGGGCGTCAAGAAGCGCGAGATCAGAGGTTCCGGGCATCGTGCGCGCGTGGGTCAAAGACGTTCAGCCAGAGGATCGACGCTATGGCTTCGCTAAGTGGCGCCGCCCGCAGACCGCCGGCTCTCTGCGCCCCGCGCGGACAACGCCCGGAAGGTGGTGTCAGACTGACCGCCTCCGCAGCATCCACAAGACGTCACGAGGACTGCTGGTCCACCAAGTCCATTCTCGAGCTACGCGTCTGGCGCGCCGACGAGCGCGACTCGCCGATGCACTCGGGGTTCAAGGACGAGCTCCATGCCGCTACCTGGGCTCCACCGCGGCAGCAGGATCCCGTGAGGTGTTCGCGGACGGCAGCACGGGCGGCGTCGAGGAGGTCCGTCGGATGCACGGCCGGCGGCGAGCTGTCAAGGCGCCGAGGCTCGCGAGATGGCGCCCCGCCGAGCTCCGGCGGTAAGGGCATTGCCACGGAGGCGTGCCTCCAACTGGGCGGCGTGTGGTTTCGTGCTCTGCGAGGAATGCTTGGCGCAAATGCAAGGTGTTCCTCGAGGAGGTGGGCACCAACGAGAACGGGCTAGTGCGGTGTCCCCTCTGCTCCTTGTGAAAAATCTTAGAGCTGCTATGGGAGAAGAGGAGACACCCTCGTCGTCGATGTCGGGGTCCAGCGGAGATGCCGACGGCGTCGATGGCAACAAGCCGGCCGTGTCGGAGTCGGAGCACATGAGGGGCGCACCCTGTTGTTTCCCGTGATGGAAAAGAAAAAAACCGCAACATAATTTATGTGAGCCCTAAATTTGATTTTTTAGATGCCATTTATTAGAAACTCTTAGAGATGACCTTCTTTTTTCCTCTTAAATCTTTTTAGGAGTTACCACACTATAAGTTTTTAGAAAAAAAAATAGAGAACTCTCGGAGATGCTCTTACACGACCAATTGACCAAACTTAAGACGCGCTCAGCCTTAGGGACTCGAAGGAGTGCTCGAGCTGAGCAGTTCCGCCGGCCACCTGCCGGATCAAGTTCTTCACCGCCTCCACCCAGTCCTGCCTCTGTGCCCTGCTTTCGCACTGGAACTCGAGCAGGCCCTGCGCCGTCCTCAGCCCGAAGTGGCACGTCTCCGGCGCCGAGCTTTGCACGCCGCCGCCTTCGTTGTGCGCCGGCCACGCCGGTATGTCGTCGTAGACGCCGTAGACGACGCCCTTCTTCTTCTTGGAGAAGGCGCCGCCGATGTGCTTGCTCTTCAGCTTGACTATCACTTGCGACTTCTTGTTGATGTACACGGCCACTTGCTTCCAGTGCAGAGCGCCTGTGGGAACAGCAGTTCGGTTAGATTCAGATTCTAGCCCAAAGCTAACATCAGCTTGTAACGTGGCGAATAAAGATGGCTGCTTGCCTTTGCGGTTGCGTTTGAGGAGCGCGCCTTCCTTGCACCAGACGTCCGCGCGGCAGCTGCCGCCGGCCTTGTCGTACGGCGCCACGGCCGCCCTGCTCCTCGCGTCCCGCTGCGCCCTATGCCGCATCGCCGCGGCTCCTCTGAGAGCCGTGGCCGCTGCGGCGGTGAGGGTCAGCAGATCTCCGGGGCTCCGCATGTCCACTGCGGCCTCCACGGCGGACGCCACCTGGTCGTGGTCGGCCCCGGCGAGCTCGGCGACCTCGACGCAGTGCGACGCCAGCAGCTGCGTCGCGGACACCAGCGCGCTCTCCATCCTGGCGCCATCGACGTCCTCCATCTCGGGGCTCGCGGCGCCCGCGGCCACGGCGGCGACCGCGGCCGCCACGCTCGCCACGGAGACCGCGGCGTGCACGCGCGCCCGCTCCGCGCGGGCCTTGTCCACCTTGCTGCTCGCGTCCCAGTGGTGGAACCACTTCCCGATCGCGTGGACCGTGTGGTGGACCTGGTGCGCCGAGATCGCGCTCCTGCTCCTGAGGGTCTGCAGACGCAAGTCGCACAATACAATCAACCCATTGATTCAGCTGCACTGGAGGCATTGCAGGGATGCGCAGAATGATTCGATGAGATCGATCCTTACGCGCTTGCGGGGGCTGATGTTGGTGCCGGAGGCGGCGGCGAGCGCGAGCGTCTCCGGCATGAGCATCCCGGACAGGCGGTCGACGACGAAGTTGGAGCTCTGCCTCCCGCCCACGCCGCCGACGGCCAGCACCTTGGAGATCTCCGACGCCGACACGCTCCACGACCGCGACAGGAACTCCATGGGCTCCATCGGCATCTGCGGCGACTGCACCGCCAGAGGCCCCGCCCCTGCACCGCCGTCAGTGAGCAGCAGGTGATCCCTCCTCTTCATCCTCATCAACAAGTGCCCCTCCATCTTGAGTTCCTCCTCACCCGCTCGACGACCGTTGCCTTGACCGTAGGTAGTGTCGCACTGTTCTTCGTGTTGCATTGCGTCGCGTCCGGCCGGTGCTGCCACCTCGCCGCCTATTTATCATCGGGCTCGCGGCTCGCCCGCGCGGAGGCGGTGCGGCGGAGGCAGGCAGACACGGAGCACGGGGGAAACGCTGCGTGGGCGGCAGGAAACACCAAGGCTTCGGTCCCTGACGCCGCTGCCGCCCCTGTTGCGCAGATCGAGCGACACGTAGACACTAGACAGTGTGGCATTGCTTTCGGTGTGGCCATTGGCGCGCGCGTACGCTGCACCGGCTTGGTGGGAGGGCGCGCGGGAGACAGGCGCGTCGGGGTTTGTCGGCGTCGCGGCATATAAAACGTATGCTAGGGGATGAAATCTGAAATCTCCTCGGACTCGTGAGCCCGCCAGTGTACATTCGGTGCTAGTTTATTCGTACCGGTGGGTCTCACGCCGAGCTTGTCGGAGCAAGCGGACACGAGTCAGGACGTCTGGACCTGGGGTGCGGATCGGTGGACATCCGGTGACATTTACCACGCGTCTGTATTGTGCACTACCGGAGCACAGCACACCGACCCTGGCAAAAGATGGTGGGCTACTAAACATTTTTTTTTGATAACAAACACTTTTATTTCAACAGCAACGAGCTGAAAGCAGCCGTGCAGTGGTAATTGTTTACAGACTGCAGTGCAACCAATGGAGGGCACTGAGAGACATGGTCTGTGTTTGAACAAACACAGGATACATTTGTAGACAGAGTGTAAGTCTGTCAAAGCCTGTCTCGCTAAAGTATCTGCCGTTTGGTTTTGGCACCTTCTAATCTTGTAAATGCTTGTGCTTCTCTGCTGGGTATGGTTGATGAACTGTTGAGTGTAGCGCTTGATTCTCCAGTCCGGAGGATTGGTGTGGTATGATGCATTGAAGAAGTGCACCAGTTCCTGGTTGTCTGTCAAGAAATTGGTGTGTTGCAGATGCAGCTGATTGGTGATTGTTGCCGCCAGAGCTAGAGCTGCAGCCTCAGCCATTAAAACTGAGGATGAATCTGTGATGGCAGCCTTGATGTAGATACTTTGCGGTGGATTCACCTCCACATTAATGATGAAAATTCCAATGCCAGCTCTCCTTGGATAGGAAGAGTTCAGGTCAGGCAAAGTTGAAGCATCCGGATAACATCTGGAGCCTTGCAGGAGAGCTGGTAGTTGGATGGAGTAACAGTGCGGTGATGACTCCATGTGCCTGTACGTCTGGGCCGGAGGCGATCTAGTGCCTGCAACAGTAGAAAAAGCTATACCTTGCGGTGGACGGTTGACATGCACATTCTGCTGATCCTGTTGTTCAGCTGCATGTAGAGCTGCATTCAGTGTGGCAATATATCCAGCTACCGCATGGTGTAGTTGGCATGGTGTCCAAGTTTTTCTCTGAAATCTTTGATCATTCCTTGCCTTCCATAAATACCAGAGTAACTAATATTTTTTGCAGCAAGAAATTTGGAGTAGAATCAGAAATAAAAGTTGTGAGAATACTCTGAACCCCATCTTCCTCTTGAGACAAAGTGTCAGTACGTAGAGGAGGATCCGCCGAGAACCAAACTGCTCTAGCAAAGTCACAATGAAAGAAAAGGTGAGCATCATTTTCTAATTTGCCGCAGGCAGTACATAGTTTGTCTATATTATTGGAATATGTTCCTGCTCTTTGACCCGTCGCCAGTGCCCGTCTTATGAGTCTCCAGGTGAAAGTATTGATGAGAGGGGATATCTCTCTGAGTTACCACATCCTTTGAAGGATCTGGTTGGCTTGAGGGAATGCTGCGTGAGCCTTGTTGAGGCAACTGAACCTGCATTTGGGCCCTGAAATGCCTGTAAACATTTTTGGTTGTGCAATCTCCCTTTTTTGCGGGAATCCACCTAAGGATATCCTGCTGTTCGCTATGAACAGGATGTACCTCGGAGATGATAGAAACACCTTGATGGTCAAAAATGTTGTTAAGAAGGTTCAGATTCCAAGAATGAGTGTTGGGAATCCAAAGGAACGATCATTTGACACTTCCTAAGGAGCGGTGCCGGGCCGCAGCTCACGGAGCGACGAGGCCGGGAGCACCAGCGCCGCACCGCCCATCGGGCCGGCCCACTACACGGCCCAGTCTTCCTGTTCCTGCCGAAGTGCCGACCAGCGGACCCGGGGCCCGGGGCCCGGGGGGTCGCACGCCGCGTGCGCCGTGAACACCACCATGAACGTCGTCACCGCCTCCAGGATCGATGCACCGAAACCCGTCATGTCCACGGCGACCCTCGTTGTCGGCACGGCCTGCGTGGGAATCTTCGGTCATCGCTGCCACATCGGCACGCCCGATGCGGAACGAAATGACCAGGAGAGAAATACATTCTGCGTGCCGACGGGAGGAATTCCGTTACCTCGCCGGCGGAGAAGGTGTGGACAGAGGATGGTGGTTGGCACGGCAATGTGGCCACCGATGGCGAAGGCGAACGTGACGGCGGGGCTGGCGACTTGGCGTGGCGGCCAGACGCCTCAGCCGCGATGAATACCGCAACGAAGAGCGCGAAAGCCTGCAGCGGCGAGGCGTCGGATGTCACGTCCGGCGTGAGCATACCTGCAGGGCGAGCGCATCAATAGTCAAGAAACATGCGGTGAGTGGGCCGTAACTCGCAAGACGCAACAAAGCTTCGGACGTGCAGAGACGGCGGAGCCAGCGGTGGCGAACACGAAGAGGTACAACCGCGGGGCGAGAAGCACTGCTGCAACCTGCAAGCAGACCATCATCATGCGGGACAAGAAATCCAGAGGAACTGCGTGCTGCTTGTTCGTTTTAGAGAGGCGAAGACGCGCCCGTGCAATAATGGAAGTTTGCGCGGGTAGTAACCATTGCACGGGCGCGATTGCAACCGTCACGATTTGGGGGGCAGACGTGGATGAATGAAAACCATAAACGACCCAAGAAATTCATGCATAAACGAAACGAAAATCACTTTCTTTCCACTCCAAGGCGAAAACCGCAGATCGGACGAGATCTTTACATCGATTTTACCCCCCCAAAAAAAAGGGAAACGAATACAAAGGACCATGGACGAGACATCATTGACACATTACATACAAATCATTTAACGTGGCGAAGAGCAAAGCAAACGACGACGCAGATCGAAACGCTGTGTTCGATGGGTTCAAATTCAAACAATCCAGACGGAGCATGCACTTAGGCGTAGTCCTGGTCGGCGACCTGCTGGTAGGAGCCGCCGATGAAGACGTCGCCGTAGATGAGGCCAGCAAGGCCACCGCCGATGAGCGGGCCGAGCCAGTAGACCCAGTTACCCGCGAAGTTGCCCGTGGCGACGGCGGGGCCAAAGGAGCGGGCGGGGTTCATGGAGCCGCCGCTGAAGGGGCCCGCGGCGAGGATGTTGGCGCCGACGATGAAGCCGATGGCGATGGGCGCGATGGTGCCGAGGGAGCCCTTCTTGGGGTCGGCGGCGGTGGCGTACACGGTGTACACGAGCGCGAAGGTGATGATGATCTCGAACACCACGCCCTCCAGCTCGCTGATCCCGGCCACGCCGTGGGTCGGGATGGCCTTGCCGTGGGTCACGAACTTGAGGAGCAGGCACGCCACGGACGCGCCCAGCAGCTGGGCCACCCAGTAGAAGAGGCCGGTCAGGATGGTGATGTGGCCGCCCACGGCCAGGCCGAACGTCACGGCCGGGTTCAGGTGGCCGCCGGAGATGTTCGCGGCGATGGAGACGCCCACGAAGAGCGCCAGCGCGTGCGCGATCGCGATCGCCACCAGACCGGCAGGGTCGAGCGCGCCATCGTTGGTCAGTTGTCCTGCACGTGTGGACGACAGGTAATTGTTCAGCATCGTTCCATGCATTGAGCCGCACAGACGAAGTCAACCATTTGAGCAATCGCTGGAACAGGTATACGTATACTCACCGTAGGCGATGGCGGAACCGACGCCGGCGAAGACGAAGAGGAGGGTGGCGATGAACTCGGACACGTAGGCCTTGATGGAGGTGGCGCTGAAGGAGTCGCCGACGCTTCCGAACGCGAGCTTCACCATCTTGCTTGAGAGATTGGCGCGGAAGATTTGGCGCTCTGAGCTTGAGAGATTGCTGCTTCACTGATGCGAGGAGTCCAGTCAGCTTATGCCCCTTTTATACACGCGACCTGGAGCTCAAGGCTTAATGGGCGGCCACAACTTGTGGATTAGAGTATTCCGTACGGTGCGGATAATCGTCACAAACATTTTAATTACTAACTATAGGAATATACTAGCTTATTCCATGATTGGTACTAGCTAGCCCGGCCATTTGTTAAAAAAAAAGAGCCTATCCAGTGCAGAGAGCTCCCACTCTGTGCAGGGTCTAGAGAAGGGTGTCAGTGGCAAGCCTTACCCTCGCTTGTGCCATGCGAGGAGACTGCGACTCGAACCCGGAATCTTTCGGTCACAGACGGTAAGACTCTACCGCTTGCACCATGCCCGCCCTTCAGATGTCAAAATAGCTAGCCCGGCCGAGCAGGTGCACTAAGCTTTGTTCGGATGTCTGTTGCTATTATGAACTTTTTATGGAGTGTCCATGTGAGGGTACACCAGCCAATGACAATACTAAAGGGCAAGGTGCTAATTGGAGGATATGTTATCTCATGTGTAACGCTTAAATATTTTGTTAATGGTACATTTGAACGGCTGCAAGTGTCAGATGGGCTGTCATTTGGAGGATATGTTATCTCAACGTTTATGTAGTTGGGCATTGTATTTTTTTTTCTTCTGAAATTTGAAGTCATGTTCTTGCAAATGCTTGGGAATTATTTGTCAGTTGGTCAATCAGGAAAACAAAGCATAAGAGTTTCATTTCAAATGCAGTCCCGTTTCTCTGTTTGTGCAAGTGCAACATGAGAGATAAAAGTTTTAGCACTTTAGCATGATTTAGTGTCACTTCGTTGTTAACACATGCTTGACCATAGGCCTTCGCTCCTTCTGAGAGGCATGCATGACAGTGTTTAGCTCGAAGACTTTTGTTCTGTAGCAAGTCGTATGGCTGATAATCATTGCTCTCCAATGGTGGGAACTTGCATCCATCGTCATCGGTGCTCTTTTCCCAGCCTGCCTGTCCAATCAGCTTTGCCTGCCATTCTAGACACTTCGGGACGATGATGGTGACGTGGACCAAATGAGCACTCTTCATTTTGAAGTCGGTGGCTGCAAGGATAGTAAACCCATTACGTTTGCATCAGTACAGCAATTGAAAACCACGACAATATGATAGTACTGCATGCTGCCATCGGTGGCAACGACTTCATCAAATGATTAGGACAAAGCCTTTTGGTACCTTCTTCTGGTATTCTTTAACAACTGAATATGAAATGTAGCTAAAGCTAAGTAGTATTCCCCTTTTGATTTCAAGGAGGGTTTCTAAGCTTCTGGTGGTGAAAAAAGATGAAACCTGTGACTGATGAACCAAAGTAAAATAGCATTAGCGTGCATGATATGTAATAGCAGAGTCGGGAGTTTGCAGTAAAAGGGCGATTTATTTACCTTAATAACAAGAAAACCTGAATACATGGTTTTCTGACCATCCACAACAGCTTTGATGTTCTGATGAGTTCAAACATGAAGATCCTCGAGATCCTTTTCCTTTTTGTTAACATCTAATGTGTCATGCAAGCCGTCTTACCATGCATATACGGAGTAGGCAAGGTTTGTGCTTTTGTCATGCTCAACTCATCTAAATTTAACAAAACAGAGAGAATCTTTGGCATTTTCATACCATTCCGTGACAACAGCCAACTTGGAACCCGCAACACCCACACGTTTTTGTAATGCAGTGGTTAGCACTTTAAGGCCGTGATCAGTGGCTCCTAGCCACTACAATTTCCAGAGGTTAGGTTTCCTGTCCTAATGTCCTGCCCTCGGTATTATTCAGATGACGCATCCAGCCGTGCCAGGCTTCTGTTAACAACACTCCAATGGTTGTTTACCTTATCCCTTTATGTGTGCAAAATGATCGAAAAGGCACGTCTGCAATTGAGGATTTGGAATCTTTCAGCACATGACTGGCACATCAAGGTCCAGTTGGCCGAAGAGGCCCTCTGTCTCTCTGACTGTCAGGCTTGCCTAGTTGCTCCTCGTGAGTGGAACTGTTACTGTTAGTGCCTTCTTCACACTTCCTGCAAAACTCTAGATCCACCTTAACATTAACATAATGACAGAACTCTGAAGTTGGAAAGAGAAGTTTACATTTCAGTACTTCACAAACCTGGATGGCTGGAATCCATCAGTTATGCATTGTAGGAACCGATGGTGGAATCTATCATGACAAATAAATTTGCAGCTGCATTACAACCGTGCATGGCAGATTTCACAGGCTAATGGATGGTAGACTAATAACAACAGTTTAGATAAACTATCTATGCCATCGGTACCAGTTGCAATCCAGGTAAAAAAAAAAAATATTCCATGTACTAGCAAGTAGTAACCGATCTACATCAATGGTCAATTTGGAACATAAAAGGGGTCATCGTTGAGTTGTCAGATGTTACTCCTACTCCCTCCCGTAAACAATACTGTTTTGAACATGTCAGTATACTTTGGACAATATTGCCAATTGGTTTATATGATATCATGAAAGTATTTTTCAACTCTTTTCAGAACAATCCACAGGTATAATTTTCATGGTTCCAAACAAAGTATTTGAAGCCTATTGATTGTCCAACTTCTAAAAGCTTAATCAAACCTTATATGAGAGATGTGAAGTATTTGTGACCCAAAAAGAATAATGCTAACTTCTGCATAGAAACATAAGCACCTACACAGAAAAAGGCTCCCAGTTCACAGGAAAGGAGAAACCATGATGCAGTTGGATAACCAAATGAACCAATAATGTTGGCCGAAGTATTTCACATGGGAATCATACGCTACAAGGAAGCTATGTAATCGATGTATAGCTGTATTTTGACTTATTTGCCGATTGCCAGCCTTCCCAGTGTTCCGTGGGCCAAATGGTTATCTGCATGATCGTTGATGGGCACGGCCAGCCAAATTCGTCATGCGTGCCTGAAAATTCCTGTAATGTACAGATGTTCTCATAAATGCGAATGGTACATGGAAGGACAGGTGCTTAACGTAAATATTGGAGCCACCACACGACCCCGGCGAGGGTTGAGATTTGGGAGGGCTGGCACTCCGCCACTCCGGATCCCGAGGATCGCGCTTGGCACGAGACCACGGGGCTGGATGGTCGCGGCACGCGGAAGCAGCTGCGGCTGCAGCAGCGAAGTCGGGGATGCCTTGCCTCAAACGCCGATGCGGATCATGTCGCCAATGGCAGGGACCAGCCAGGGAGGCGGTTTGGCAGTTCGGCGGAATCAGTGAATCACTGGCGTCCGAACGGCGCCTCTCAAGGCGGCCAAGCTCACGCAATCCCGTTGCCGTAACCTTGGGAAGGAAAAGGATGCCGGCGGTCGGAGACGAACGGTCGACGCCGGCGGCGACCTTGCGGCCGCGCGGCCTGGAACTCTGGAAGGGGAACGGGAGGAGGGGGCGTCAATCGGGAGCAGGAGGAAACGTATTGGGCTGAATTGTTGGGTATGACGTTGCTTATAGGCCTTAGTTTACGCTAGCATGTGTGCATAAAGCAGCTGATAGCGGTCGTGGGCCGTTTAATCAGCCCAGTGTCTCCAGCGGGCCATCGTAGACTTCTCGAGTTCAGAAACACTAGAAAGACGCGCGGCGTTTCCGCGCTGTCCGGTGAATGGGCCATTGCTAATAGCTGGACCCCGATATGCTCAGGCTGTCATTTTTCTGTAACACGATGCGTAAGTTGGATCAGGCATTGGCTTCTTTGAGGAGCCTAAACAGCCTGTCTATATCTCATAAAAATACTTTGAGAAAGGAATGTAATCACGTGGGAAAAATATGTCGCAACTTGTCTTTTCACATATCATGTTAGAGCTGACAACAAATTAATTAAGGCAACAGTACAGTATGCTTAGAAGATCATTTTTTGTTGAAAATACAAAATGTAAATTGCATTTGGCTTGCGGAGTCGCTATAGTTCCAGTAAGAAGCTCTGGACTCCAATTGCAGTAACATCTGGAAAATTTTGAATAAATGCTTTTGTAGATCTATCTGTGAAAATTTATTTTCGTTTGTGAGGAAAAGTGATTCATCTTGGTTAATAGTCATATGAAATCGTAAATTAGATAAATTATTTTTAATATGCCATTAAGATTATGATAATGTCAAGGCTAATAACAATATGTCATTATACATAAGCTGTTAATAAGATGCTCGTGCGTAACAGTCATTAAACAGATAAAAACCACAAAACAATACTGCAAGAAAATATTGTTAATTAATTCATATAAACCTGGATTTTGTCCGTTGATGTTTAATGTTTCTCATGAATAGAAAAATGTTCCTCTGATTTGTATTTTTTCTATACCAATAAAATGATTTAATGGCTATTTAGGAAGTCTGAAGATCAATTCCCGTCATTCATATTGTTGTCTGCAACTCGTGAACATGAAGTTGAAATCCTAGCAATGGTTTGTCAGGTGAACCCTGGAGTAGAGGGAAGGGAACAAACATAAAACCAGATTCTTCACATGTATAAACAGCCACCTGCATCATGAGATTCACACCTGATATTTTCACAAGCTGCACAATGGTGAATGGAATCAGCTGTGGGAATTCCTTGATGTAAACCTCACTGAAATGGCAAAACAAAATCAATTTTAGATAAATATCAACAAAACCTGATAAATGGATATATATATATATATATATATATATATATATATATATATATATATATATATATATATATATATATATATATATATATATATATATATATAGTGCATTTGTAGGTTTGTCTTATCATTGATCCATCCTGAAGGATATTCATTGAACTGTATTAGCAAGATCAACAACACTACTTCTATATCTCTTGTTGTACACTCCTGTAAAGCAACATTGATGATATGCTTTGGAACATATGAGCTAGAATCCCTTTTATGTGGAAAATGCCTGTATAAAAAAACTATATCTTGGGAAACTATGAAGCATTATGACAAAGTCTCATATGTACTTTCAGCCAAATATTACTGCAGTATCAGCTAAATAGGAGTCTCTAGATTCTGTGCTGATAATTTTGGCTATGATCAGGTTCCACATTCCACTGCTTTCGTGTGCTATAAAGAGGAAAAAAAACATGTGCAGTTCTCTAACCATTATTGGAGGAGCCTTTAGACAAGCTAGTCAAATTCAAAACAGTTCTTAAATTAAGATTATCTGTTTGCTCGTTTTCTGATAAATGTGGATTGGTTAGCCAGTTCATTAGTAGTGCATGGCAGTATAGCTGTTTCCTCACTCTCCTTAGTAGCTCTTGTTAGGTGAATCACAGAAATAATGTCATCTAACTAATGTTAGTTGAGTGTTCATATGTAACTTATATGGTTCTTATACTCTGTCAATGCTATCAATCGGGACAAATATACAGAGGAAAACAGCCAGAACCAGTGTTTTAGATGAACTGTAATATTGTAGTGACAGAGTGGTGCCTGTGCCTGCCTCGATTGTAGCTATTCTCTTTATGATAGCTCCCAACATTCTGCAAACGAATATATCACAAAGATTGAATGAAAACGGAGATGCGATGGATATGAAGATCCATAAAAATATTTTGAGACATGTGATGACTCAACAATCATACGGCATGGCTCTTGGAAACAAGGATGGCACAGGCATGATTTGCTCGCAGCCTTCTGTATCTATTAGTGTAGCTTTAGCACTTTGAAGATCTCCAGGTTGAGCAGCTCCACCTCCACGGCCGGCTGCTAGACAGTTCTCTTTCACACTCTTCAAACTTCTGCACTTCTAACGGATAATCAGTCGAACACACGGCAGTGCGAGTGTGCAGTCCGCTCCCTTCACTGGAGGCCTGGGCCAGTCCATAGGATGCAATGCAACAATCCACATTTATCTAGGCCCTGTGGACGTCCATGGTGCTGCAGGCGACATGGATGCAATGGGGAGCCGTCTGTCCGTCTGATGCGGTCGACGCCATCGCTGACTCACATACCAGGCTTCTGCGGCATGTCTGTTGCTTGCTTGGTGCAGGTGTCACCAGTCGGGTGTCACCAGTCGGGTGTCAGTGGCGGAGGGAGGCTGGGCGGAGGCTGGAGGGCGGCCGGCTCGTTGTCGGTACTCGACCGTTCTCGAGCATCTGGGATGTGGCCTCGTCGTATCTCCCCGGTTGGTCCCCGCATGAGCTCCTGGCCATGGCCACTGCAGTCGGCGCGGCCTCGTCGCAGATTCGTGCGACTTCTGGGCCGCTGCAGGAGAACCGTGGTCTATCCTCGAGCTAGGCTTCCGGATCAGGCGCCGGCAGCGGCTATTAGTTTTCTCTACCCACCGCGGTGGCCATCGCATCCGGATGAGTGATGCCTAACAGCCGTCGACGTGGGAGCTGCGTTCGCCTTCGCGCACACAACGGTTGCGAGGAGCGGGGTGGCCGCCGCGTGCCGCCGCCGAGGAGGCGCCATATGTGCGTAAGCGGTCGCGGAGGGGGCAGGAGCTTGTGGCACGTGGGCTGGCCGGCGCCCGGCAGAAGGGATCGCAGACGGCGAGTCGGTGACGGCGGTAAGGCCTTTTGTTTTCACTAGCCGATGCCCGTGCGCTCATACGGGAGTCGAGACTCAAGAGTCTTGAGTCTCAATTTTCGGACATATCCGTTGGTAATGGCCAATCCTGAAATTTTTGGATTTACTGTACACCGGTGCTCAAAACATATTTATAACAAACCCTCAAACTACATACAAGAAGCAAAATCAAGAACATAGGTCAATTCACAAATGCACTAACAGAGCACAACCTCACTCAAATATATTGATTTTTATTATAAATAGTTTCAGTTTCAAGGGCTTACTGACACCAACATATTTTGCAGTCAGGAACTTGGTTCAAACATTGACCGTACCCTAAGAAATCAAAGACACAAGACTAATACTTGTCCAAATTTTCCTCTAATGTGACAAGTTCAGTTATTCTTTTTCCCAACTCGGATCGGTTATTCTGAAAGAAAGAAAAAAGATAGATATAATAAGTACAAGTTCACATGTCACACATATGATATCTGTAACTGAATAATTTTAGATGCTAAAACACAAACCTATGTCCTATGATCATCTAATTCCAAAAGGAATGCAGAACACATTATTCAGATAACTATAGGTAGATAACTAACCCCAGTTTATAAATAGAAACAAAACCAAGAAAGACTCCTGCAGCAAGAGGACACATAGAAGCAAATAGCAAATGACTCTTCAAGTGATAAATTAGAACATTGTGCTAATTTCTATATCGTAGGAATTAATCTCATGTCTGGAACAAATTTCAGAAAAAACTTAACTTGGCTGAAGGACAAAAGAACTGTAGCAGGAACCTGCAGTGCCCACATAATCCATGTCCTGCACGAGAAATAACTACCTTGTAAGATGGAAATTACAAATGCTTAATAGCATTCAGGTGTACCATATAGGCTAATGGTTTGAGAATGATATCAGTCTCCCAAGATTGGAGTTGCATCACAGAATTTATTGTGAGGGACAATTTATAGAACTATGAGCATCAAATGTATTCACTTGAGCTTATTCAGGACTACTTTTTAGCCATGAAACAATGTTTTCCTCTCACAACATTTCAGTATAAGCATCAGCATAAGTCAAATTTCAGCATAAGCGAACAGGGATCCATCACTAATAGCTATCTACTAACTAGCAGAAACCAAGCACTACTTGGTGCACAAGATTGAAGAAGCTTAAAATCAGACCTTGTTAAGAATGCAGTAATTACGATTAAATTAACCTTTGTTCTGCAATCTCGTGGCCTTGGAGGTGTGCACACAATCCAACAATGTGCATGTTTCCACGGCATGTAAAGTTGTAGCACTCACGTATTGGTTTGCTGGTTATTTGATAGCTTACTTGCCTGATGACAAATCATGATTGCAGCCCTAGCAGGTTTGACCTTAATTTGTTTTGCTATAAAAAAAGAGAACGTATCTGGTGCAAACCAACCACCCCGTGCAACATTGAAACTACGAATCATGGCCACAAGATGCTAATCCAATGGATAGGGTTAGATATGAGATTATTTTGCGCTTAAGCCGCCCCCCCCCAGCCGGCCACTTTTCCAATACCCCCCTGCCCCCTCATGTCCGTTTCTGGTTGGAAAAGTGTGCGGCTGGTGGGGGGCTTAAGCGCAAATATTTTTTTAGGCCAGATAGCCAAAACAAAAAAATCAATAGTATTTAATGGTGAAGCTTCTATTTCAGTCAGACTACACAAACACTATTTTAAACGACAAAGCCAATCTAAACTGAATGATCAGGCCAATTCATGTAATCGATTCTTGTGTAGGCAAACACAAAAATCAGGAAATAAAAATATATGATATATTTTGTACAGCTGTTTAAGGAATTAGGTGCATTAATGGAAAATAATTTCCCTAGCTCTCAGAAACATTTTATCAAACAACTGGAGTGCGGAATAGAATTGATTCATTTCAAATCATTTTTATGAACATGTATGCACGTGATGGATCATTAACCAATCTAGACTAACAGGAAGAGGAGGGGAGGGAAGCCGTGACCTTGTATATGGTCAGCAGGTGAATTGATGGTGTCCGATCTTCGACATACGTGTTCAAACACCTGGTGCCATGATCGAGTGAATCTTCAGCTCCCGCAGGCAACCATGCAGAAATTGTGGCTTAATTAAAATCATTCAATCATCCATATGCAAATTGAGGGAAGGATTATAATACCTCACTGACACTCATGGCTGAAGGGGAGATGCAGGCAACGGACGAGACGACGCCGACACCAATTCTACCAATCTACCACCGTCTACCGTGTGCTCAACACTGCTGGATCCGAAATTCCGAATCGCCTGGTGGGGGAAGGATTGCAGTGCAGTTAGAAGGGTGAGGGGAGGATCTGAGGGTGCCGAGGAGTTAGGCAGTTGGCGGCGCCGAGGTGGGATGCGAAGGGCAAAGGGCAAGGGACGCCCCGACGGCAGCGCCCCCGGTGGCGCCGGAGGCCGGACTGGATGGGGGCCGTCGCCGCGGACTGCCGCCGTCGGACGGTGCTCTGGGCAGCGGCCGGGCGAAGCTGTGGGCGGCGGCCGGGCGGCGCGGAGAGCGGCTGCCGCGCGCCGCTGTGGGAGTCGCGAGGCACGCCGAAGCGTTGATGGAGTTGGCTTCTAAAATTTGCTACGTCAAAAGATTTGACACGCGATGATTTTGACTATTGTTACTTGTCAATATTTTATATTTACTGA